ATCAGAAAAGATGTAAACCACCCACTACGTGACATTTTAAAGTGAAGTGAATCGTCCAAGGTAAAACGACGCGTTACGATATTCCATTTGTTAATTATTAATATATCATATTTCTTACAAACAATATGATTTAATAGTTAGAAAATGTGATTTATTTATAATAATCATTATTTACGAAATGAAAATTTGGCAACTATTAATAAACTATATTTATTATTAATAAACTGTGAAGTAAATACAAAAATAACGTATATTTACAATAAATTAATAAACGATTTTATTTGACACAAATTTAGTATATTAATAACAAATAAATTGGACCCAAATAAATAATTTTTTTATAAAAATTAAATTAAATTTCAGAATATATTGTTTTACAGTAAATTTGCTGTATTTATTATAAATATTTATTTATTATTAACCCCAGTATTTCTTTCAGTGCACTTTTGTTGATTTTGCAAGATTTTTTTATTCAATTTTACTTAGACAACTACAACAGCTTTTGATTTTTCTTTAAATGAGTTCGTATGGAAAGAAAGTTAATTTTGAAAGTTCAGGTTTCGGAATAAAATGGAATATTCCAGGCAACTGAGAAACGGGCGCCACTTCGTTCATTTTAAACTTTTATTTCAGCCCGTGTAATCGAATAAACGAGCTAGGTAAACGAAAATTGTACGAAATGGAATTTTTTCTGGCTCGGAAAAATAATGACGTCTCTATTTACGAGCTTAAGCAGAGCCGGGGCTCATTCTGCCACTAACGCCGGTTTTTATATGACAAATTCGCTTGCGACACCCGCCCGGTAAAAAAGTTCTTTTGATGTTTGTGTTTCTTTGGACCCCCGCTCATTATTTTTTTTTAAATCTACTGTAACGAATTCAAAGACGTTTCACCATGTTAATATGAACGCGTCTCGAGGAAATTCAAACAATTTATGCAAGGTTTTGTTTGCTCTGCAAATATTGTTTTTGAATATTTTAAATGTCGTTTTCTATTGTTTTATTTCAAACGTTCTGAGTCATTCCATCGTTTTAGATTTTGATGCAAAAATTGAGGATGATCTTTTAAATATCAATTGTGTCATTTTCATACCCCTTTTTGATATGATACAAGTTTTTTTTGTTATAAAAACTTTAATGATTATATTTTAATTTTATTATTTATTGTTAAAACATATGGGTGATTCTACAAAAGTTGGTCAATAGAGTAGGTATTTTAATATTTTTTGTAAATATTTTAGTACATTACAAAAGGTCCAGGATTTTTTAACTTGTCCACCCAATTTTAATGTATTTTTTTAAAAGCATGTTTGTAGAAAAACATAATAAATATTCAAAACATCAGTACCTTGGCGTGTCACAACTCGTGAATCAAATATTTGAGTGATTAAATATATTCAATTTATCTTTTACCCGTCAGTTCTGTGTCCAATATTAAAATTCAAAATTCCTGCGAAATATTAAAGTTTAAACGTCAAGTCCTCGTTTTAACTCAAGTGTTGGTACAAAATTACCTTTGCACGACAGTCATCTTGAAAACAATGCAAGCGGCGAAGTTGTGGTGAATGCACGAATAGTTCCAGTCAAAATTTCAGTACTGTGGTGAGTAGTTATTTTCTTACGTATATATATTTCATTGTAATTTATATAAGACTACATGTGATTTGTTGATAAGTAGCATCCACTAATATAAAATATCAGTAAAATACTTAATTCCGAATTATAATCTCAAATTTGTATCCGTTTCGTCAGTTCCATGTGCGATGTTTCGGTTATCTTTTTTTCGCAAACTTCAATTTAAATTCTGCTTGCACAGAACTTGTTTATTTAATGTCATTATAAACTCATATAAATTTGGTGTGGTTCCCATATCTAATAATTGAGATATCAGTATACCCAAAATCCACCAGCCGCCACTAATACGTGGTATTATTTGATTTTAGGATATTTAATGTATAATATGCTGAAAGTTGCAATAAATCTTATATTTTCCAATAAATTATGTATTTAATTAGTACCCTGGTATACTCGTCACTTCCCTTGCATTCAAATTTAGAAAACACAGATATTTCAGAAACTGTTTAAAGAAGTGACTGGCCCGGTTTGGAACAGTATATTTATTATATTATCTATGTTCTTATAACAAAATACTGTTTAATTTTCTCCGAAAACTATATAAACAAAATGAGGTCAAAAGTTGCCCAACTTTTGTAGAATCACCCATATACAGGTTCTTATAAAAGTAATATTGACATGCTAAAATTGTTATACCCTTTAATTCTACCATTTTTAACACATATTACTAGTATGTAGAATTAATTGAATTTTATTTGCCCTTTATGAAATTAAATATAAATATTATAATTACCTATTGTAAATTTTAAGCTGCTGACTGAAAACTTGGAATTACAAACAAAATCCATTTAAATAATTACCATTACCAGGTTTTGTTTATTTAAAAAAAAAAGAAGGGGGCATGTTGTGTACTGGTTTTTCTTTTTAGAAAGTTGATTACCTTATTTTTTAATGAGTAACAAATACACTTTAAAATATTTAAAGTTCCTTAATGTTTAAACAAATTTCTAAGTTAAATAATTAATTTTGTTTTTATTTATTTATTATACATAGTTAATTGTATATTTAACAACATTTTAAATATGGATAACCGCTCATCTTAGATTACATTGAACTTAAATAAAAATATATTAATCGTTATATTTTTTATGCTTCATTATTATTATTAAATTTATAGATACTATATAATCACTTTGGTATAGACCTAATGGGACAGATCTATTGTAATTGAGCCAAATCAAATACGACCAGATTAAATAGAAGCCAGTAATTTTAGACGATAAATTATATTACATTAAACTAATGCACCCATGGCTTTAATTTAATGCTATTTACCAATAATATCTAACCCTGGGGGCTTTGTTGATATTTAAAGCATTTTTCAGACAAAATCCAAATTAATTTTGTCCCGCCATGGAACAGTTGTTGTCGATATAAATCTCAGAGATCGTAAATTGTTCAAAACAAAAAATTGTGAAGGAAATGTCGGAACAAGAATGACGAGGCGAAAAAGTGTAAATACATATTTATTACATTTATTCGGAGCAGGCCTTTTCAAGAGCAACGCTTGAGATAACTTTTTTCATTTACCAGCTTGAATAAAACTTCAAACTTTGCATTTTTCTATACTTAATTTTGTTTTACCTCCACTTATTCTGCTAAAAAGTTGGTACAAATCCAGTAATTAATTTTTCGCACTCTTTGTAAGAATGTATTTTAAAGCTTTATATTTATAGTTGTAAAAATATAAACTAAGCAACAAAAATAATGTACCATCATGAAATTTTATATTTTATTTTATTGTTTTAATAATGATGTTTCTACCTTTAGTACTTGGTTAATATATTGGTAAATTTATATAATTTTCATAGAAAAAAATAAGTTTTTAACCGTTTTTGTAAAATATATTTTTAAATTTAAAACTAAACTATTTCTTTAGGCACTGAATATGAGTCCGACTTAGAAATTGTTCTCTCTTATTAGGTTTTCAAAAAAAAGAAATCCGAAATTCGGTATTTAAAATTAGAACTTTTAATTTCAAAATCCCAAGATTAGAATATCTCAAAATACGAGCTAAATTTAGCCGAGCTTATTTAAACATGTATTAATAAAGAGCCCACTATATGTTTAACATTTATGTAAATTTTAATATTTTATTTATTTAATATATCATAATTATCTATTTATATTAAAAAAGTTTAAATGCTTTAAATTATTATTAATTTTCGTCCCAAGTCAATAAAACCAATCTGCTTCTTAGAAATCCTATTATAAGAGTTATTATGTTTACATTCAAATTAATAATAAAATTTTATTTAAAGAGTTAATAAATAAAAAAAAATATTTTTTCGGCCAAACCTGCTTACCTAATAAATGGACAAAATATTTAGTTTACTGCTAGGTTACTAAAAAATTCTTTTAAATTAAGTACTTCTTTAATATCCTAAAATAGAGTTAAATTAAAAGTTTCCGGAAATTGCCCCATTATATGTAATTGACTCATAAAAATATAATAAATATGAAAGGCAGTGGCGTAGCCATAGAACATTTATCGCACGGGGCCACCAAAAATCTGGCAAGCCCAGTAAAATTAGTTAATGGTTTTTTGAGTTCGCGTTTTGAGCGCTCACTTATAAAATACCCAATCTGTTTTTAATTTATTTCTTTATTTCTATATTTATAGGAAAAACATCTAAATAAAAAAAAACAGGTTTCTCTTGTATAAATGTTAAAAATATACAAGTACATTAAAAAACCACAAATTTGAAAAAAACGTCCGAGTCAATTTTTTTTTAAATTCGGAACTTTTTTTGGTTAGTTAAAAAAATTGTAAAATGTTGAGAATTTTGTTTAGTGGAGTAGATAAAGATAAAAAAATTCATCCAAATCAAAAAAGGTCTATTTAAAAAGTATACCTACTTAAAAAGTAAAATTTAAAAATGTAAAAAAAAATTTAATTGAAAATAATAAAGTTGGTATCGTCCCAGTGAAAACCAAACACATTGTATAAATAAACATGTAAAACTTAAAAAAATAACAATTATTATTACTTTTGTTATTATTATTATATATGCCCCCTCTGCCCCCCCCTAGATACGCCATTGTTGGTAGACCGAGTCATTCTTGTTAATTTGTTTTCATGTATGTTTACTAGAAAGTCATTCAACAGAAAATTAATTTATAACATAACATAACAATAACAACAAAAATAATTGGAATTAATAATTATTAACGCCAAGTACTTTTTCAAGGGCTAAAAATAAACAATTTTATTTTTATTTAATATTAAGTTAAATTTGTTGTTTTCTGTGTATTATATGGGTTTAAAAAAAAATTAATTGGTGTTGTGGATTTACCTACCGTTTATTTTTTATTGGTATAAATACTATTTCCCCTGGGTGATACATTTAGTTCAATATTTGCATTTATTGTTTAAAATGAAATTTGTTTTAATACTTTTTGGTTTGTTTTTTTGCGTGGAATTTATTATTTGTAGACAATTTGATCAAAGAGGTAAATATTTTCGGGTATTTTGGGATTACTTACTATTACTTAATTAATTACTCGCGCTAGTGTATTTTGATAATTTCAGATAGAGAATAAATTTAAAATTTTTATTAAAAAAACAGTAAACATTCAAAATTAAATATTCTGTATATACAGGGTGTCACGAATAGTATGCAATACTCTACAAACGGTTTTTAGGACCAAAAATAGGAAGAAAACTTTATAAAATAATACATATTTTAAATGTTCTTTGCAGATTGTAGCAAACCACCAATGATGGGAACCTGTTCAAACCCTAATTCATTTACGTCGTATTACTGGGACGAACAAGAGCAAAAATGTAAAGGAAGGCTTTTAGCTATGGGCCCAGGATGCCAAATGACCAAAAACTCATTTGAAAGGAAAAGAAACTGTAGATATGTAGCTGGACCAATATGCAGTACCATTGATTGCATGTGTAGGCAATCGGGATGACAATTTTAAACTACTATATTTTGTAGTTATGTTTTTTATATGTTTTGTATTTTGGTATAAAATATTAAATAGTAAACGTTTATAATACTGTTTAAAAAATTTCTTTACTTCTTTGACATTCATTTGTATGTATATTTATTAAAGTTGGTGATACAAATCTAAATTTAAGAAACCGTTTAAGCTTTTTTTTATTTTAATATTATTATTATTATTATTTTTGTTTTATTTTTATGTTTTAGATACATTTTTAAGCTAAGAAAGTCAAATAAATTAAAAATAAATTATTCCCGGTGCATTCGCCATTTTTTTAAAAATTGAGAAAATTTGTCTTAATATTATTATGATGATATTAAGACACATTTTCTCAATTAAAAAAAAATGGCGAAGGCACCGGAAATAATATATTTTAGTATATATATATATTAGTTGTGCACAACTTACTCTTAAAAATGATGTTATTTTTTTATTAAACTTTTTAAAATCGGATTTTTTCAATGTAATAAAAAATAATCGACATTTTTAAGTTAAGTTATGTTAAAACTTAATTTTTGGGTTTTTTAACTTTTTTGGCGAAATATAAAGAATAACCTTGCAAGCTATTTATAGCTTTTCAAGATCGTTTTTTCGAATTTCCAGAGCTCAAAAACAATATTTCGATTCATTTTTAGGCCTTTAGACCCATTTCGGTTTTACCATTTTGTAAAGGCAAAATATAAAAAATAAAAGTGGTTTGCTCCAACTTATAAAAAGTGTAGAGAAGGTTTTTATAAGTCCCTAAAAAGTTTTTATACGTCAAAATGTTTTTAGTATTATGCAAAAACATGTCAAAGTTTAAGACGCGTATTTCACGTAGTGTTGAAATATAAATGGGTTTTACATCAAAACCCTAAATTAAAAAAAATCTGAAAAAGCAGTATTTGTTTTTGCGTTTGTTAAATAATGTTTTCAAGGTTTTATTTCACCTCTATGTTTTATAGAGTAAATTTAATTCTTATGTACCACCTTATTGTCTCAACAACAATATTTAAAGTAATAAAACAAACATCAGAAGTCGTAAGTTTCAATGGTTGGTAGCTTTAGCACTCTTGGGCCTTTTTGTTTAGTTGCAAACAGGGGCCAGTGAATAGTTAAGATAAGGCCAGTTTAACTGTTCGGCTGCCTGCGCTTCATTGGCCTTATACGTGTTCGGGGACAATTTTCCCTAGCCGGGGGATTAAGGTGTAAAACTACGCCATTAAACCGCCTCTCCTCCTGCCCATAAGCGAAATATAGATACAGGGGGAAGAAAAATCTACGGAATGAATTACTATAATTGTATTGAGGTCTTAATTACAGTACTTTGGTTAATTTTTACTTCTTACATTTAATGATTCTCTATAGTTAAGCTTTTCAGAGCAATTCAAATAACTTTTTCACTTTTGAAAAATGCTTACCTAAAATATTAAACATATTTCCTTTTTTAAGAACTAACAGATATGTGGGGTACAAGTCCACTGTTTTCCTTTCCTTCTCTTTTGATTATGAAGATGAAACACCCAAAGAAGAAACAATGTTAACAACTATGAAATTACTAAAAAAAAACATAATAAAAGCCATATCACTATATTTTAATGTAGACTCAACTACATTGGTAAAATAATAAAAATGTGTATCACTTTCACATATAAAGCAGTTTGTACACCTTCTCTCGTATATGTTTTCCCCTTAAGAACTTCACACTTTGGCTTAACTTAACCCTCTCGATGACGTTAAAGGTTTTTTACTGTGTTTACCTTTCGAACTTTTCTATAGCATGTGGGGATATAATCCTTTCGCATCGTCACTTTGTTTAACCAAGGAATACATCCCTAATGCATATGTGGTGTTATACCTTACACATTCTTTAACATAATGTTTTACAAAAAGGCTAAAGGCATTTTTCTTTATTTTAATATAAGATTACTTACATCGGTTTTATATAGTGATCCAATGAGGATTACCTTTTTATTTTAATTGTAATTATTTCAAAATTATCGTACAAAAGGCATAACATTATCGTTTTTTGTACGAAAGTACAAATGATCGTACTTGTACTATAATTAATGGACATCTTGCAACATTGCTTTTAACCTACAGTTTCTGATAAAATTTAAAGCGCAATCACAAAATGTCGGTAAATTGTCCGTGACTATTTGTAGAAACAAACCTCATGTTTACCGCAAAACAACTATTTTATTCTAAATAACACCTTTACATTAAAATTTAAATTGTAATATTTCATTTTATTTGACGACATAATTATAATAGACTTTAAAATAAGTGTGTATTTCATTTTAGCGTTTAAAAATTAGCATTTCTTGACACGCATAAGCTTGCTAGGACAGTCCTAATTATGAGTTATAAATTTGATTTGAACGGTAATAAATTACCTTTAAAACCGGAAATTTGAACTTTATACAAATTAAACTTTACTATTTTAAAGTTAATTATTTTTCAAAGAATAAGTATTTTCACATTCTTTCGGCGGCAGTAAACGATTTTATGTTAATTTTTAATTTCTCGTTAGGAAAAACAGGTTAAAATTATTCAGCCGAAAACTAATTTGTTAACTTATGCAAGCCGTCCGAAATTCACGGAAAGTTTTTAGCTTTTATTTTTCACGGTATTTACGTTTGAAAAGGGCGCTAATAGACCTTTAAGGCTTTTTAAGAATTCAGAACATGACAAGTCATAATGCAGATCGCTTTATTCTCAAATATATTTAAGGGGAATCCCTTTGGGACTCACCTACATGCACCAGATCCATTGCCAAGTTTGTATGGACTTATTTATGCATTTAATGTTTCCATTTTATATTTCTTTCTACAATAGTACTGTTTAAATATTTACGACCATTGTTTTAGTTTTCTTTGACTTTTCATTAACCACCATACTATACATTTTTACTTGAAAACAAACTACTCAGTCTAAATTTTAAATTCCTATTTACAATATTGACAATAATAAAAATATTTTACGTGTGACATGCTGCTACTAGTAAAATTACTAAGTAATAGGATTACTTGAGATACTTGAGATATGTAGTAGTTCAATTTAAAGGAAAGTTAGGAAGGAAGTTTATTTTAGAAAAGAAAATCATAAATGAAAGATCAAAACTAAAAATATTAATGAATAATAACAAAACGACTAGTGGAACAAAAACTATATTAATGTTATTAACAATTGTTAAGCTATGAATGTGCTTTAAATCAATAGTCAAAATATTATTAGTTATACATAATACACAGTAAAAAAAATTACCAGTGTAATTTTTTTAGTGTAGGGGTAAAAATATTAGTTTTGTAAGTGTAAAAGTTACACTACAAAATACACTAGGTAGCATTTAGTGGTTATTAACTTTATTAAACACATTTAAAGAATATGAACATTATTCATTGGTACATTCACACTATTTATTATTAAAATAAATCAAAAGCATAGAAAAACTTAATGCGAGTGTTTATTACCCCTTAATGTGTTAAATAGTGACAAAATGTACACTAGAGTGCATGCTGTTTTGATGTTACTAAGGGCTCTTTTTTCTTTACACTACTAGTGCACATTGTATCACAATTAAAGTTAAATTACACCAATAGTGGCAAAATAGACTGAAAAAACTGGTAATAACCGAAATGCGTTTTAAAATGTTTGGTTGGTACCTATCTACCTACGCAGTATGGCATTTTTGTACAGTTAGATTTTAATTACGGTGAATCCATAAGGATACATTCTTATTTTTTGGTAAGTATTATACTTCCTTTTTCTTTAAGACTTAATACTCAATAAATACCAATATGTTAAAAGGATGTCCATTTCCGACCTATATTATATTATATTATTTTTACGGCAGTAGGTCGGGTACTTGTAACATTAATAATATAAATAAATACACACTTGATTTACTTTTTATTTTCAAGCGTAATGGTTGTTATATTAACCTATACCTACATTTTTATTAATATTATGGAAAATTTGTACACGTGTGGTAAATCCCCGACATACAGCCGCCTGACGCCTCTCTACCAATGGGATCACCCATTTTTTATAACATTAAAATGGTTTACTGATAAATTCTCAAGATAATTCATTGCTTACAAGTTGACAGCCAGTAAAACATTGCATTGATCTAAAACTTTTACGTTTTAAGGAACCATTTTGCTTAAGCCAGCCATACGACTCAAATATAAAATTATATTTTAAAAGGCACCGATTTTGATAATTGTCATAGATTTTTGTTACAAATAAATAAATGTTTAACTTTATTAACCTTTTCGTTTTATTTACTACCACCAATATGTTTTATTGAAATAATAGTGTTAATTTACACTAGAAGTTTGCACTAAAAGAGTAAAAGTACCTTTCTAAAATTAGAACTTTTCCAAAGTAGTGTTTATTTACACTAAACAAAAGTAGTAGTAATAGTGTTATAAAACAACACTATTTAGTGTGGACCTGTGTGAACTCTAATAAGTGTTGCTTAAAGTTGATTTTTTTTACTGTGTATATTAAGTTTGATGAACGTGTTTGGAAAACTTTATTAACCAGTTGCCTACTACACTTTTTCTTGACAAGGAAATTTAAACAAGAAATATTGTTTTAACAAGATGTATTATTTAACAAAGTATATGTCTATGTTTAATTTCCAGTTTGGGTACGTAAAGTTGAGGAAGGTATTTAAAGTGGAACAAACTGCAATTGTCAAAGGATTTGCATTTTGTCTGACCAAGGGAGCTTACATGGTTCGCGAAACTTGTGTGTTTCGTAGTTAGACAACTTATTCCCCAAGACAATATGCATTAAAAGTTAGTTCTTTCGAGAAAAAAAATAGTTTGTATTTATAGCAATTTTTTTTTTTTGATCCACCAAAAAGGTTTTTAAAGATATCATAAAACAGTGAAAATTGTTTATTATTTTATGTTTTCTAATTATATTTAGATATTGATCATCTATATTAATGTGGATGTGGATTCTGGGCAATAATAAATCCAAAT